ATCTCAGTGTGACAGAGAATGTGGCCTGAGGGGGAGATGAGAGAGTAGCCAGGCTGTCCCCTCCTAGAGATGCCGTGAGCTGAGCGGGTACTGGGGAGCAGATGCCTAGGGCGGCGTGGGCAGATGTCCTGCCCGCCTCTCCCTCTCTGTCTGTGTCTGCCTCTGGTCCAGCCTGCCTCTGTGGCTCTTCACTGCTGCTGTCTAAATCCACATCTCTCTCTGGCTGTCTTGTATTCTTTCTCGTCTCTGAAATGTCAGACTTGAAGTCTACATGGAGACCCCCACCTGGAACTCAGCCCAGTGAGATATGCAGCCCTCAGGGGCAGCCACATACAGTGCCAGCGACAGGAGCTGGACCAGGCCAGGTGATGAGGCCAGCTGGCAGGGGGCCCTGCGAGGAGCCAGCGATTTCCTCAGTGATAGAGGGACGAGCGCTGAAACCAAAGCTTCCTTGGCGGTGCAGGCTGCAGCCATGCCTGGATGCACCTGAGGAAATGGAGCCCCAGACCCAGTATGGGCATATGTTGTGTGGCAGAACTTTTCCTGGGGAGTCACAACATCCACGTCTACAGCCGAAGATAGGAAGCCCGCGACAGACCAGAGTACAGATACTACGAACGTTTAAGTTGGTGGAACAGGGAGTTTATTGTGGCTACTTACAGGAGTAGAAACGACTCAAAGACAGCTACATCACCAAAGGCCACCCCACATGGGTTCTTCCCCCAGTGTGTCACATCTCTGGCTTTTCTGAGTTAGGGTGGGACGGGAGGCTGTGTGTTTCTCTCTGCTATCACTCGCTTCAGTCTAGCCAGTTTTATACAATCTGAAAAGATTTAGTCTTCCTGATGGTGGAGGTAGCATTCCATCTGGGAACTGAGATTTGAAATATATTGAAACAAAAAACAAAATGAAAGGCTCACACTTTTCCCAATAAACTTTCTTGCTACGGCACATATTTTTGGGAAGGACTTTATTGGTAGTTAGCCACCAAATCTCGGAGCTTTCCACTCACTGGCTTTGCAGTGGAATTGGGAGAATGGTCTGTAGACTGCCCGGAGCCCTACTCACACGCAGTTCACCCATGCCGTACCGGAGGGGAAGCAGAGAGTGATGGGAGGAGTGGGACCCTGATGCAGCCTAGCTAGGCTAACAGGGAAGCTGCAGGGATGGAGTAGTGAGCTGGAAAGTGTGAAACGGACTCCAGAGGTAAACGCAGGGTTCCCTTCTCAGTCTGGAGTGACAGATCTGATCCACAAGAATCCTTCTCTGTGTGGGGTGGCTTTGTACTTGAAGGCAGTTTATGACAGGGAAGGCATGCTGACCTGAGGGGAAGGGTGGCAGGTTGGGGTTGTCATTGTCCATTCCCTAGTTTATTTAGTGATGAGGTACAGTAAGTGCACAGTCAGAAGAAGGCTCTGCCTTGCACTCCTGGGGGCACTGCTGTGGGCACTGCCTGCAGGTAATGCATGTTTTCCTGGGCACTCATACACAACTCTATCAGAAAACTGAGTGCTGTCCACACTGTACGCTCTGTTTCTTGTTGGTTATATAAAGATGGCTAGGGTTGGGGGGAAAGGCCTTGCTCTGTACCCCAGTCTTACCTTAAACTCAGTCTCCTGCCCCTCCCTCCTGTGCCGCCACCACAGGCTTCAGAGTCACTGCACTGTCTCAGGTGCTGTGTGGTGGCCCATCTTAACAGAAGCACCATAGTGTCTACTGATTTTGTTTTCTGGTTATCTGTTTCCAGCGGCCACCGGAAGCCCCCCAGGTTAGGGTCTTTGGAGAAAATGGGCAACACTAGACAAATAAGGCTGGAAGAGCTCGTTTGTGAAGTGAGTACCTAAGAGGCCATTACTCCCCTAGGCCTGTAGGGACAATGGGGAGCAAGGTTCCTGGAGTGAGCATGAAATAAACTCCAGAGCTGGCCTTCAAAATATCTGGCATGTGGTGTGAATGCTTAGCAAGAGGCTCTCAGGGGTGGGGACCCTGTGTTATGTTTGTTGATTCCTGGGTACCAATGTGATGTTACTAAGTGCAGAACTTGGGTGAGATGCTCCCAGCTCTGTCACCTAGCACCAGTACATCATGGAGCCAGTGCCACCAGTGTCCATTTCCTGCCAGGACCTCCGCTGGCTGAGCCCCCTCACGGTCAGAGAGCAGGGCCTGAGAGACATATGCTGGCTGATGAAGCCTGCAGCAGAGAGCTTGAGGCAGGGCGTGTCACCTCTGAGTGAAAGAAGAGCTCCTTCCCTCTGCTGTTTTCTCCAGCTTTCCCTCAGGAAGGTTTCTGCACTCACTTCAACCCACACGATTAAGTTAAGTTATTGGGTGCACAGGTGTTCATCGGCTATTTACTGAGAGATGGCAGCGGCTTGGCATTAGGGCTGGATGTCTGGCGGAGCTGAGGTGTGCTCCAGCAGGTCCTGCCCTGTGGTGGAAGGCACAGAAAAACAGGGCCCAGAGAAGTGATCTTCCCCACTGGGTGCAAGATTATTGATGACGGAGCGGGACCTTTGCTCTGCAGTTGGGAGATTTAGGGAGCCTCAGTGACTCTCCATGTCAGAGAAAACGGGACATTCCTTCTCTGGCAGCTTAATTCACTCTCTAGGTCCTGGTCCTGGTGTCCTGAGCACCTCGCAGGAACTTCAGGCCTCTGGCAGTGCTTATAGCCAAGTGTTCTGGGCATCAGAGTCAGGTAGGGGCTTTGTGCAGTGAGAACCCCTAGACTGGGAAAGCTGGGTAATGGGTTGTTGCTGTGGCAGCATGGGCAACTTTTTCCTTTGATCTCGGTTGCTCAGGCAGCAAGCCCCCTGGCTGCTCACAGCCCTGCTGACCTGCCTGTCCTCCCTTCTCATACAGCTTGCTCACGAACGCCTCAGACACTGTCCAACTGTCTGTCTGAGGCAGCTGCCTTTGCTGGCACTTTGTTGAGACTATGGGGGAGGGGGCTGGCTGCCAGAAGTAGCTGGTGAAGAGTGGAGGAGACTCTGGACAGCTGCGGAGGTTCTGGACTCTGGTTTCAGCATTACTTGGTGGCCAGTTTTCATATCGACACACTTGAACCAAATATTGAGCGTAAAAGCCATTTCTTTGGAAACCAGAGGTTTCGAGATGATTTCTGATTAGCTCCTGGTAAAAAGCTTGCAAGTTATTATCGTGGAGAATCTGGATGTGACCAGGGCAGAGCAAGCGGTTAGGTCTCTTGTTCTGGAGTGCACGCAGAGCCCTTTGCTTGGTGGCCTTGCTTAAGAAACAAACGGCTGTGAACATTCTTACGTGGGGCTTTTGGCGGATATGTTTTCTCCTGGAGAAACAACTTTCAGACTCAAAATGTTATCTAATCATTTTTATTGGTCATCATCTCAAGGATCCACATTTTGCTGCTTTTCCTTCTTCTCCATAGCTTCATCAGGCACATTCGATATTGGCTTAGCACCTTCTGGAACAGCCTGGTCCAGCGACACATCTCTGCTTTCTGTGTGGACATTCTATATTGTTCACTCACAGACAACAGCACTGTAACTCACGCCCAATCTAACGTAAACTTTTTCTTCTTCTGTAAAACACGTCACTATCCCCATGACCTTCTGGACTCTGGTAGCACGTTAGCATGTTTGGAGGCATTAAAACAGTGAAGCTGCCAGCTAAAGTACGTAAGCAGACAAACATGGCACTAGACGTGAAAAAATGGCATCTGCTCACAGTTTGAGAATTAAAGCAAGCGAGCATGGCTCTGCTCATTTGGAGCAGGGAATGCGCACAGAAAGCAACTTGTCGATGAGAATGTGCTGTGTTTTCCTGGGGTTAAATGTAAAAGTTAACAAATAAATCTGTGATGACTTTATGGATGGGTCTCCTGCAAAAGAAAACAAACAAACGAAGACAATGTGGAGGGCCTTTTGTTCCTAAGAACATTTCGGCTGAGGGACTCATCACTTGGTATTTCTGAACACCCAAGCACTTTGCAGAGACCACTGTATTCCCGGGAGAAGTAGATGGAGGTTGTGACTTCTTATAAAAAAACCATCTTGAGTATTTTCAGTGCGAAAATTCTGGATGATGATTTAAACACCAACATTTGATTCTTCTAATCCGCTTCAAAAAAAAAAATATCTTACTTTCTAAATCCTGAGATTTAAAAACGTTAAGAATTAAAAACCTTTTTGATGGATTTGAGTCTTCCTTCGATTGGTCATAGTCACGGGTTCTGCTCCTGTTTCCCTTGGTGCCAGGCACGGTAGGGTGCTTAACGTAACACATGTGGCAATGGTGGCAGGATGCCGGCCACTGCTCAGGGTGCAGGCTAGGGACACCAGCCTTCTCCGATGCCTCACCCACGCTAGCCTGTTATACCCACACTAGCCTGCTATTCTGGTTCATCATTCACAAATCACACGGCCTGTGCTTAGGAAGAGAAATCATGGCACTTTCGTGCCGACTTGCAGAATTCGTTGCTCGTTATTTTAAGCGATGGCTTTAGAATTAAAAGCACACCTTCCAGGAGCCTAGGTCGGACAGGGCGGACGTCCTCTCAAACCTCCGTGGGGCTGCTCGAGTAGCAGAGGCAGAGTTCTGTACATTGAGGACGAGGTCGGGAGGCGGCACGCAAGGGATGGGAGCCCACCGTGGGGGAGAGGAGGTGGCGCGAGTGGGGCCGGAGCGGGGATCTGGAGGAGGCAGGGCCGGAACAGGGCCAGGAGGTGGCGCGCGTGGTCGAGGAAGCCGGGCCTGGAGGGGCTGGAGGGCGCGGGAGGCGGGTGTGTGTGTGTGTGGGGGGGGAAGTCGGGAGGGAAAGGAGGAGGGCGCGCGTGGGGGCTGGAGCAGGGCTGGGGAAAAAGTAGCGGCGGCGGCAGATTTCCGCACCCGCGGGGGCGCGGTTTGACGGCGTCACTTCCGGCACGGGCGCACTTCCGGGTGCGGGCAGGGGGCGGAGATTGGTGCAGCCCAAGGTAGGGAGCGGATGAGGCGTCCGGCCCGCTCAGCGACGCTGTGTGTTGCAGGTCTACCCGGAGCCGCGGAACGAGAGCGAGTGCCTGAGCAACATCCGCGAGTTCCTGCGCGCCTGCGGGGCGTCCCTGCGCCTGGAGGTGGGTGAGCGCGGGGCCGGGCTGGGGCGGGGTGGGGGAGGCCGGGGTCAGGGCGAGCCGGGGGTCGGGTCGGAGTCTCGGCGGCTGTCGCTGTCTGGGGCGACCGCTCCTCCCCGCCGGCTCCCTGCCCGTGGTCCCGGGAAGCAGCGTCTCGATGTCTCCTCGTGGCCGGCGGGTGGATCCCACCACACCTTGTGATGGTTTCCACGAGAACCAGTGGGTTCTCTGGCTCGTGTGCAGGTGGCACACGTTGGTCATCCCCGCTGGCCGGCGACACCTGTCCAGCCCTGAAAGCTGCCTTTCGGAATTACCCAGCGTCGTATCCAGGTCGGACTCGGCCCTCAGTAGGTGGTCAGGCCAGGTCCAGGCTCAGAGGGCGAGGGCCAAACCCCCTCCTGATCTCATGCCCTCGTCTGCTGCTCTGCAGGCCCGAAATTAGGCGGTGTGCCTGGATTCTCGAACCGTAATGCTTACGTTAGAAAACTCATGAGGTTTGAGACTGGGGTTTGTAAAGCCTGCTTCTGGGGGTAACTCCTCGGGGTTGTCTTTTCCGTTCTGCTTGCTGCTTCGTGCTGAACACTCTTTGTGGTCGTTCAGTGGCCGCTCTCCAGGGATGTCGCTCTTTCCTTATTTTTCTTCCTGGGCAGTGCAGTAGCTGTAGAAAACTGGCTTTGCTTTAGAGCGCTTGCTAGGATCGCTCAGGTGGATGAACTTGCGGCCACGTCTGTGTTAAAATCTTGGTATCTCTGTTTGCAAGCTCACCGTGTGAAAGGGTGGTAATACCACATGGCACCCCGACCCGGTGGTGACCCAGTATAGCGTTCCTTTCTTGGTAGGACAGTCTTCTTCTGTTTTTCCTAGGAGGAATTGCAGAAGTCATCCCAATTACTTTTGGGAAGTGTATTTAATTGAAATTGGACATAACAGCGATTTATGGTGATTAAGTGTCCCTGTTTTTATTAATTTATCTTTGATGTACTCGAGGAAATTGCTGCAGGTAATTGGGTAGTGGCTGGGATGATTTCAGAAAGCCTCACAACTCTTTAAAGATGGGATATTGGCGTCCTTCGGGTACCACCCTTGTCATTTTAATGACTTAACTTCCTTATTGGACTGGAGAGTACTTTTTACTTCATCTTGACCTTTGTCACGGGGGAGTTCATTCCCGCCACGCTCCTGGGTACCAGTGTAAATTGTAAGAATTCGCTGTAAAGGAATCGAATGTCACATTCTTGTTTTCTTTCCGAAGGTGGGTTGCTGTGAGGACTTTATGGTTCTGAGTTTGCCCAGAGATGCCTCACAGCCACACCTGGACCTGGCTCAGGCACCTAGAACATCACTTGAGACGTAGCAGGTCCTTGCTAAGCCTTAGTTACCGCGGGGATGAGCCTGAAGTTGCACTTGGGATAGCCATTGAGTTTCTCCTTGGTGGGGCGGGGAGGACCAATTATGTCATTCTGTGCTGATTTTGAAGAGTAAATAAATATTTTTTCCAGTTACTCAATAGTATAGTAGAGGAAAATACAAGATTCTTTCAAGATCAGTGTATCACACTTCAAATTTATAATTACCCCAGGAGATAATAAAAACAAAACAACACATGCAAAAACCCTAATCTTTTTTTTTTTTTTAAGGAAGTTTCTTGAGAAAAGAATGGCTTTAACTCAGCTATCTGTTTGTAACTCTGTGTGAGGGCAGAGGCCTCTACAGGTAAAGCCCTAGTGTCCTGCACACAGACACAGGGAGAGATCCAGGATTGTGCCCTTGAGCAATTCTAGGACTTAACACATTTAATTTCCACCAAATTCTCAAAGAAGGGAGACAGAAAACATTTTAAAATTGCAAATGGTAAACAAAACAGCTTAAATTTCCAAGTTAGCTTTTGTTCTTAATACTAAATATCAAGGTTTTTTTCTTTCTTTCCTCAAGAGGTTGTTTTAGGCTGAATCGTGTTGGTAAGAAAGACTGTCTAGCTCACTCCAGTTTAAGCTCCTAGTGATTTCTTTAAGGAAAAGAAATTGAACATTTTGTTACCAGATTGGTTGTTTTTAAGCTTGTATTGCATATATTTATTTCTGTGTATTTGCTTACGTCTTCCAGTGTGCCACGGTGCTTGTTTGGAGGTCAGAGGTCAGCTAGTGAGAGTTGGTTCTCTCCTTCCATCATCTGAGTCCTAGGGATGGAATATCTCAGGCTTAGTGGTCATGCCCTTACCATCTTGTTGGCCTCTATTTTTTTTTTTTACAACTTTTTTTCCCACCAACCATATAATTTAAAAATTCTGGGGTAGCTGCCAGGGAGATGGTTTACTCAGCACAGCGCTCGGTATTCAAGCACAAGGAACCAGGAAAAAGCCAGGAGTGGGGGAGTACTCGGCATCATAGAGGTACGGTTCTGAGGCAGTGAGATTCCCTGGAGATTTCTGGCTAGATAGTCAAGCCAGTTTGGCAAGCTCCAGGTTCAGGTAGAGACCTTGTCTCAAAAAATAAGGTTGAGACTGATGATGGTCAGTGTTTATTTCTGGCCTCCACACAGGTACGTGTGTGTGTGTGAACTTGCATATGTTAACGTGTTCTGACATATGCACATACACACATACATTTTTTCTGATTTGTGCAGAAAACTGGTCACAGCTATGCCAGTTTCTTTCTATTTGTATCTCAAAAAAAAAAAAGTGATGGTGATGTTGATGATACACTCGGTGTTGTGATAAGAAACACGGCAGTGAATCGGGAGACAAGTCATGACGTCGTAGTGCATTTCCCTGCAGTTCCGCAGGAGAGGAAACAACTGCAGAGGTACAAAATTTCTCTCTCTCTCTCTTTTTTTTTTGTTCTGTTCTCAGATTGTGGTTCCAAATGTGCTAGATGTATTTCTTGATGGTCACAGTATATTAGCTGTCAAGATTTTCTTACCCAGTAACATTATTTAATTAGGCACCTGAAATGTATTGAGACAGATAACTTGCAGCTGTTCAGAGCAGAGGCTGCCTTCCTCAGGAAGAGTGGCTTCCCCATCACCAGAGATGCCTCAGTGGTTAAGAGCACTGGCTGCTCTTCAGAAGATCCAGATTAAATTCCCAGCACCGACATGGTGGCTCACAACCATCTGTAACTCTAGTTCCAAGAAATCTGATGCCTCTTCTGGCCTCTGTAGGCACACACACATGGTGCACAGACATGCATGAAGGCAAAACACCCATGAACATGAAATAGTAACTTTAAAAAAAACCCTAAAGTTAAGGCCATATGAATCCAGTTCTAATGGTATCTTATATAGCTTAGTCCATGTCATAATACACAGCGTCAGGGATGTTAGCAGCAAAGTTACAAAATGCAACAGTGAACTTAGAGTTAGTTGTTCATCAGAGAACTAGCTAGTGTTCCCAGTGTTTAATGTGCATTGCTTTTTATTAGGAATTTTGAAAAGTTGGAATTTAGCACTATTATAAATAAGCATATTTAAGGTCATGTTCTAAAGTCCAAGTTGAAATTAGGAAGTGGGAGCTATGCTTGGCTGTGAGCTTCACTGGAAGAGTCTTCTGCCCAGATAGCACTGGCCTTTCCAAGGCCAGAGAGAGCTGGGTATAAATGAGGAATTGACAGATAGGGAGAACTGGATTATAAAGAGGAATTGACAGATAGGCAGTGTGTCACCAGGGCGCTCCTGGAGAACTGACACTACCTCCAGTATAGCGCCTGCTCTGGAAAGGAAAATCAGGCTCAGATGCGATTTCTCCTGGTGGCCAAGGAGGATTTCAGGGAGCCTGTCCAGTGAGGCCTGCCACCGCACTTTTTTTTCTCCAGCCAGTTTTGGCTCCGCTGTGTGGGACCTGGAAGGGATGATGACCCACCACTGTTAACCTTCCTACTTTTTTCACACATCTGTGAATATAAGATTCTGTTCCTATAGACAGAAACATTCATTAAAATCTTAATGTATCAGTCATTGGAGGCCTAGGAGATTCAGAACAGACATGGCTTCCCTCCTCACTCTTGGACATTTTGGTTAGTACTTTTGGTTTTTCAGATCAGTAGAGATTAAAATGTAGACTATCTATTGGCATATAGTTTGCTTCACTGGCTAGTTCCTTTTGTTTTATTTTCTTTTTTTGGAGGGAGGGAGAAGTTCTGAGACAAGGTTTCTCTGTATAACAGTCCTGGCTGTCGGGGAACTCTCTCTGTAGACCAGGCTGGCCTTGAACTCTTGGAGATCTGCCTACCTCTGCTTCCCGTGCTGGGATTAAAGGCGTGCATCATCACTACCCGGCACAAGCTAGTTTCTTGTTACGCGTGTGTGTGTGTGTGTGTGTGTGTGTGTGTGTGTGTGGTATACCATGGTGCTTCAGATATGTGACTGTCACGGGGTGATTAAGTCAAGCTAATCACCATTTGTCAGCACCACAGATGTTTTTTGTGATGAGAACATTTTAAATTCTTTTATAGCACCTTCCCGTGTCTGCCGTCAGTAGTTGCTGCCATGTTGTGTAGTGCCCACCAAGACTCTCTGTCCTACTTAGACTTTGTCCCCTCTGACCAACATCTTCCCATTGCTCTGTCCTTCCTCCCGTCCCCTGGTGACTGCCATCTTGTACTTTTATTAGTTCATATGAGTGAGGCCGTGCTTTGTTGGTCTTTGGTGACTGGCTTTACTAGTGGCTCTCCAGGTTCATGCGTGCTGTCACTGTGATGTGATTTCACTTCTCCTTTTTACACTAATAGTAATAGCAATGTCCCATTGCTCATATGTATCTTGTTTTCATACATCTGTCCATCTCAGGTGGTTTCCATTTTGTGGCTGTTGTGAACACTCTTGAAGTATATAGGGAACACACATGTTTCTCTAACATTCTCTCAGTGTCTTTGGATATACATCTGGTACTGGGATTGCTGGGCCACAGGCTAACTTTTAGTTTTCTGGAGGACGTCTCTTATCAATTTCTGTAATGCACTGACTAGCTTACATCCCACCAGCCAGTGTTCAAGGATTCCATTTCTTCA